GGGAGCAGTGGGCGAGTCAGGAGAGGTCTGCCACGCCATGTGGTCACCTCCGGGGCAGGCGGGAATCAAACTCATGCGGAAGTGGCTTTAGCTTCTCAGTGTTGTGCTTCAACCCGCTGTGCCACCAGGGAGGGCCCCGAATCTAAAGCAATCTAAGGGGGAGTGATGGTAACATACCCAACATATCTGGAATTGAGCTTTGTAGACGGAATATAGAGGTACTTGCAGATAGATAAGCTTTGAGGAAAAAGCATGCCAGCACAGGTATCAGCCCATCTCAAGATGCAAAACCATAGTCCAGAGAAAACTCCCATGAGTGTGCAGGTCACTCCAGCAAAATGCGTATTCTTTCATACCAACTGGGGCTGGTCATGAAACCCTGTGCAGATGTCATAACATAGTGGTTACAAATGTGGCCCATTTACCTAGCCTAAACTTAAATAAAAAGGAACTCATGATTGTTGAGAACAGTATCCGATACGATCCAGGTAAAGCATAGAATAGTGCTGAGGGAGTAACAGGATCACGAAGATTACGATGATGATGATGATGACAATGAAGAAGATGACATGCAGGCGAGGCAAATATGAGAGCGTCTAGGCTCTTCAATAGGAAGCACAGGGAGAGAGCAACCCCGAAGCAGAAAGATAATCTCTGTTGAGAATGTTAAAAGACAAGGCTAAAAGACAAGGCATCAATCTTGAGTTTCTAATTGCCTCTGGAATGTTTTATTTTGTAGAGGTTCTGCTGGAAGCTTTGTTCCTCACTGTGGATCCTTACATGAGGTATTGTTTTACTTCCTAAAAATTGAGTGTTTTTCCATTGAGCATTGGACCCTATTTTGAAATAGTTCACCTAAAGTACCCAACTCTATTGAAACACTCATCCCCATTTCTCCCATTATAGTCACTGTGACAGTGTTGATCGATGTTCATCTTTTGCAGGCCGAAATCTGAGGCACTTGTGAGGGGTACCCTGGCCCCTTCATTTTACCTCCCTTTTTAAGGGACACAATTTGCCTGTCATTGCTCATGAGAATTGCTTGTAGCAATTTAAAAGAAAAAAGAATTCAAACTCTAGTTTTCCCAATTGACTGATGGCAATTATTTGGTAGAAGGAGCTAAGACCCAAATGCAATTTTCTTGTCTTTTATTTAACTGTATTGCTTTAGTGTGGCTAATTTGCAGTTGACTCAAATAAATGCCCTCACATTTCTGGGTTTCAGTTCTTTACACATTGCCTTCATGGCTTTCCATTTGGCAGTGGAACTCAAGATAATTTTTCCCAGATGCTCTTATATTTAAAAATGGATTTTTTTTTTTCCAGAGTGGCAGCCAAAAGATTGAAGGAGGGTGACATGATGATGGGGCAACAAGTGTCCAGGTAGTTGCTTCTGCTTGTTGCAGTGTTTGGGAATGATGCTGGACCCTGCCTCTGCCCGGCGACTCGCAGTTTCACTGTTTGAGTCTGGTGGTATTTTTGGATATCAGCCTCCTATTTGAATAACTGGGAGGGAGGAGGGAAGGAAGGCTATGAAATTAATCATTTCAGCTTCACTTTTTGAGCGTTATGTTTAATGACTAAAAAATAAAAGTGTTCAGCCAGTATATGATCATTGTAAAAATGTAAATAAAATAAAAATGTACATCTTGGAAACTAAAAGTTTCCTCTTCCTCTGAACCTTAAAGGTGACAGATGTTGGAGTGTAAGGGGGAAATATATATATATATATATGTAATAATCCAGAAAGAAAATGGTTTCACTCATATCAGGGGTGTAAAGAATCGGAGGGGGGGGAATATATATATATATATGTAATAATTATAATAAAGGGAAAAAGAATATCAACTAGCAACTATAAACCAGAGACATTCTTGGTTTATAGGAGAGGGGAACAAGATCAAAACCAGTGTGGGAAGAGCATATGGGACTGTGGTGATGGCACATGGGTGAAGTAGTGGTGGGAAGTCCACAGGGATTACAACTGAGATGAAACATGTACAAAATAAAAAATGATGTAAAAATATATATATTAAAAATTTAAGAAAAGAAATTCACAATGAAAGGCAAAAAAACAAACAAAAACAAAAACTAGGACTTCAAGCAGTACTGTTTTTCCTGTCATGTAGTTTACTTTTTATATGCTGCATCTTGTCATTAATATATTTTCCTACATATTAAAATGTATTTTTGAAAATAAAAAAACAAAAACTATTTTGTTTTAATTAACAAAAAGGGACTGCTGTTGATGTGTTGTTATTGCAGAAATTGTTCAGTAACTGTACTAATATTTATGCTTCTCTACATGGAATGAAATACCCTTCAGCAAATTGCTTTTTATCACTTAAAATTTATGGATAGTTTTTGTTGATAGTACCGCCCTTTTATGACTACAAATTACTCCTGTAAATTACTCCATTGTTATCAGCCATTTCACTAATCTACTCCTGACTGCAATTGTTTTCAGTTTTTTCTACCACAAATAGTGCTATGCATCTGTGTGTATGTTCTTTGGCCACCTGCATGAATTTGGCAACATGGAGCAAGAGTTACCAGTCTTTTCATACTAGAACATTGCCTAAGGAAGTTGTAAATTAATATTTATGACTATTAATTAAAGTATGATTTACATAAGGAAAAAAAATCCCCCGAATGTCTAATAATGAGAGGATATTTAAACTTACTGCAATTTTTGAGGGACTCTTATGAACATGTAAAAATAGACCAGTCAGTGTATACTGAACACACAGCCTTCCAACTCCCGTGAAAGGGAAAGAGGTTTCACATCTTTTTTTTCAAATTAAACTTTTAATTTTCTTTAATTTTCATTAAAATTATTTTTCTTTAATTTTATTTTTACACAATATTTGACTCTCCACTCCCAGGTAGTCCTCATACATCTCCCACTACCGCTTCACCGGAAGTATCACCACAGTCCCTTGTGTTCTTCCCTGCTCTATTTTGACCCCTGCTTTATGCCTCAAATCTGTAGTTTGCCTGCAAGTTTTGTCTTATTTATTTTTTACTTATTTGGTTTCCCTATAATCAAGGGCCTATAATTAATTTCACATGTCTTAATGTACTCTTATCTTTCAGAGTTGTGGAAAGCAAAAACTCAGCTTTACCAACGGGAACAATTGTCATAGCTTTTTCAGGCTGGACAACGCACTCCATTTCTAATGGGAAGGGGCTGCAACAGCTGCCCGCAGAGTGGCCAGACAAGTTACCACTCTCCTTGGCTCTGGGAACAGTGGGCATGACAGGGTGAGTCTCGCAGGTATATTTCATTTGTTTGAAAGCTTGACACTCTGGTTTTCCAACAAGACTTGTCTAGAACTTGGCCAGCAAGACTTGAGGCAATATAAGCTCAGGGACTGATCAGAAGAGATGGCAGGATTAACAAGAAAGGTAAGGGAGAGGTAGCCTGAGGACTGATGGAAAGATAACTGATCTGAGGTCCTCAGGTACAAAGAGAAAACAAACAATGAGAAGCTGGATGGGCGGGGATCCTTCTGGTGCCAGGCAATGATAACACAATGGAACCACTTCCTCCTGTCCTTGGGAGGGTCCTGGTTTCACTCTTCACTCATCTCTGCCTCTGTTTCAGAGTTTAAAGTGGCAAAGAGTTCAATCTGTGTTGGCCTTCTATAGTTTCTTACATTTTCCCTACATACACCTGCGTTTCCTGAGGTGTAAGGAGACCTGAAGTTTAATGAATTCAGCTATATAGCAAGTACTGTTGTACATTTACTCAACATGGCCCAGGTCTAAAGTGGTCAAGTGTCTCTTGGCCTTACCTCTCAGGAAGAGTTCTGGTCACTTCATCCCATGTCTGTGCTCCAGAGGCCAGGTGCTCCTTTGGCCTCAAGTTTCCTTTTATGCCCTAGAGAAGCAAGGTCCATTGGATGCCTCTTGGTGTCTCCAAAGCTTTCCTAGTCTAGGATTCATTTCTCTATGTTGTCACCTTTTCCTTCTTTCCATTCTTTTTCCTTCCTTTCACCTTCTTTCTTCCGATCTGACCACCTTTTTATTCTTTTGCACATTTTGAAGGATTTTAAAAGAATGAATGAAAATACATATTCCCCATCTGATCACCTGCTAACAAAAACTGGTCCTACACGCCCCAAGGTCATATTCCACTCAGAATTTGAACTCAGAATTGCTACAACCTAGAGGAGAGTTATAGTGAACTTAGAGAATGCTTAACGCTGCCTTACATTCAAGTAGTGGGCACCAAGCAAAATGACAGAATTTCCTGGTCTTTCCTGACTGCTCTGTATCTCCCATTCCTGAGAGCTCTTCCTTCCACCTTGTTTTCTCAGCCACCCTTCTTTCTCTCTTAACTGTGACCCAAATGGAGGAGCAGGGGTAAAGATAGACACAAGGAAACCTCAGTCTAAGTCTCCCATTGTTACAGGGCACCCCAATGTGAATTGGGTTGCCTGTCTGTGGGCTATCTGTTACAGGACAGTGTTTTGTCCCAACTTCTGTGACCGGCCGCAAGAAGGAAGGCGGGAGGCAGAAGGCTGAGCAAGCAGTTTATTGCTCCAGACAGCAGCTGAGACGGAGCCCCTAGAGTGGGGGCTCTTATATAGGTCCTAATAAGGGGGAAGGGTCTCTTATATAGGTCCTAAACTCAGATTTCAAAGGGGTGACTCATCGCTGTGTCCTTGATGTAAGGCCCAGTTCGTTATCACCTTCATCTAGTCCCATCCCGTTAATTAGATGCAAGGCCCAATTTATTATCACCTTATCACCTTTGGATGCAAGGCCTGATTTATTATTGCCCTTATCCAGTCCCTCAGTAAATCTCCGCATTTGGTCACTCCCAACAGACAGGGGGAGAGGGACACCCCTGAAGCCCCAAACTTGCCTGCTCTAAGTGGGTTCTGCCATCTTCCGCGTCAAGACAAAACTTTAATGAAAAGAGACTTTAATACAGTGAATATACAGTACAGAACACAAAGAATATTACTTCTAAATCAAACACCTGAAGTTACCTATCCCCTCATGGGCAAAAGTCCACCCAAAAGGGGTTGGCCCAAAGCAAGGCCTGAAAGCCGCCACAAGACTAAAGCACCTTCTGGCCGGGGCCCATGGAAAATGGTCAGAAATGGCCAGACAAATCTGGGAGGAAAAGAGCAAAATCAAAATCAGTATAAACACTGCCACAGTCACCTCCCTACAGGTATCTCACCCACATCTGCCTTAACCAGTCCAGGGTCAGGAAACAAGCAGTTTCTTCATCACATGCTTGCTGCTCCATGTGGCTTCCTCAGGTCCTTCTTGTTCTCCATCCAACTTCTCTTTTCTCTCCTTTTTCTCTGCTCAGCTCCACCCTCCTTTTGGGTGGGGCAGGGAACTTGGAACTTCCCCTTTTCCTAGGGACCACCCTGTTACACAATGTCTTGGAGAAAATTTTTTTGTAAAATAATAGGAGATTTTGACTTTTGAAACAGGATAATTTAAGAGGACAATTGATTCATTCATGGCCTATTCTAAGTCTGTAAGGAGTGTACATCAACCTTTTACCACTGAATCTGAGTGATTGCAGGGGAGGAGTTACAAGTCTCTTTCTAGCAACAGTTCTTTGAGAATTTCTGCCAGTAAGAGCCACTTAACAAAGGGAAGCCTTCCTCCTTCAGGAATGCTATCGATTTAGCTATTACCTACCAAAGAAGTTGAACTTTGAGTCATGGAGATATTCCAGAAAGCCAAACTGCACAGAGTTTAATTACCCTAAGGACATCTCATTGATTCCTTCAATGGCACATGTCTGTTTTCTCAGTTAAATTGGAAAGTTCATGAGTTTTGCTCTCCAACTTATTAATTTGCTCAAGTCTCCTTTAGCCCAAAGTGTACTTCTAATTTCCCCTCTAAGACTTCTCTGCTGTTGGCTTCCTTATCCTGTCTCTATTTTATTTTTACAAAGAAGTGGTGTTTGGAAAAGGATTTTTGGGTAGCTTAGGTTGATAGATCCAACAAAAAACTGATTTTAGAAATAGCTAGAAAGGAGATTGGGGAGGATACTGTTGTCACGGACAGATTCATACAGTCTGCTCCACTTTGGGGGTTGGCTAAATTGCTGAGAAGGACTTCAGGATATATGCAAATGAGGTATAGGGCTAGAAGCACATCTATCCACATGTTCTTATTTTTCTTCCCTCAGCCTAACAGCCTACTTTGGCCTACTTGACATCTGTGGTTTGAAGCGTGGAGAAACAGTGCTAGTTAATGCAGCAGCAGGAGCAGTGGGCTCTGTTGTGGGACAGATAGCTAAGATCAAGGTAAGCGTATTCCATAACAGCCATTCGCTTGACATCCGAACTGGGAATTCAGCGGTTGAACACAGCAGGCCACCCCTCATCTCAGGGAGTTGGGTCAGGTGAATTCTGTTTAGCAGTTGGAAACTGAGAATGATTGAGAAATGGGTCAGTGAGGAAAGTTGTGTGTCAAAGATGACTTGAACGTTGTTATTTTGCAACATGTCAGGTATCAAGTCATTCAGGTATGGCCTCTGTCTAGAGTTGTAGGCAGTAACTACTTTTTTTTTTAATATTTATTTATTTATTCATACAGAACTGGGGTAGAGGCCAGAGATGCGGAAGGTGAGAGGATTCACCAGAGACAGAGTGGGGAGCAGAACAGGCAGATCGATGAAGTACACTGCTGAGGGGAGCAGCGGGCTGGTCAGGAGAGGTCTGCCGCGCCATGTGGTCACCTCCGGGGCAGGCGGGGATCGAACTCATGAGGAAGTGGCTTTAGCTTCTTAGTGCTGTGCTTTGACCCACTGCGCCACCAGGGAGGACCGGCAGTAACTACTTTTATAGTTTTTATTGAAGATTTCCTATTACAGCTTAAACTTCCATCCTGGTTGCTCCGATGATAAGAGAAAGTTGAGATCAGCCAATCAAGAGTCATCGCCCACAAGGCTCCATTGCAAAGGCCACTGCAGTCAGTCCATAGTGGTGGGGCCATGACTTGGGTACTAGCTCCTGAGAAGTCCCCAGAAACATTGGGAGCACATTGCCTCTGCAGCTACCAGAAAGGGTATAAATGGTATGAAAATTCCAGAGCTGAGCCAAAACTACCGTCTAAAGGACCATCATACCATAGATAGCATGCACATCATTGCAAGGGAAGATTGGCCCACAAAAAAGATAATAAGAGAGTCAAATGAACAGGTTGTCAAGCTAGTAGGTTGAAATGAATTTGTAAACCAAATAGACTTAGAAGGAATCTATTGGATGGTCAGAAGCAAGTTGGGTTGAAGACTGATTCAGGGGCTAATTTCCCCTGTGGGGCCTACTCGCCCATTATGGCATCCATGAGGGTATTCTTGGAGAACCTGGCCATCTAGACTGGGAATACGATGTTGCTTCATGTTGGTGACTCTTAGATGGTTTGGTTTCCATTTTTCTCCCCACTTAGGGCTGCAAAGTTGTTGGATCAGCAGGGTCTGATGAAAAGGTTGCCTATCTTAAAAAAATTGGATTTGATGTTGCCTTCAACTACAAGACAGTAGGCTCTTTAGAAGAAACTTTGAAAAAAGCCTCTCCTGATGGTTATGAATGTTATTTTGATAATGTAAGTAACAAATGGACTTAATATCTGATTTACTACCAAAATCCTATAGAAGAGAATATACTTCTACAGTTTCCAAGATATATGACAAAAGTTCTTTGTCAGATACCGTACATTTTAATTATTCTTCATAGGTGTATTTTCTAATGTCGTTACAAACACAGCCTTTGTTCTCAGGGGAAGTATGTACATAAGTATGCTTATATCTTGCCTAGACTCACTTTTAAGTCCTAAAAGCAACTCTTCCTGGAGCTTCTATTTTATTTACTTTACAAAAGAGAAAGCAGGTTCACAGTTCTACGTGCTTGCTTGAGTTTGGCCCACTGACTAATCCTCCCAGAGCTGGGATTCCTAGCCCAGCTGGCTGACCACCGAGCAGGGTTTCTCTGACCCTCCTGTCTGCAGCCTCTCGTACTGTCCGTGTGAAAGTTGAAAAGAAAAGGTAGAACCATGTCTTGTTTGACCTCAGTTAGGAACTTTGCATTTCTTTCCTGCTCTGTGTGTGTTTGCACATGAACAGGGAAAGCTCTGAGTATTGATTTTGGGGATTACTGATAAATTTTAGCAAATAATCGAATTCACAAATACGAAATCTATTAATAATGGAGATAAACTATGCATGTTTTGTAAGTATTTTCTCTTATGAATTATCTTTCACTTTCTTGGTGATATCATTTGAAACAAAAATATTTAAATTTTGATGAAGTCCAATGTATCTTTTGTTACCTGGGATTTTGGCATCATATCTTGGGTTTTGCCTTATCTGAGGTCATGATGATTTATGTTTCTATTTCTCTTAAGAGTTCTATAATTTTAGCTCTTACACTTAGGTCCATTATGCACTTTATGTCAATTTATGGCATAAGAAAGGAGTGCAATTTCATTCTTTTCCAGGGATATCCAGCTATACTGCACCTTTTTCACCAATAAATAATTTTGGTGAAACTCGTTGAAAATGAATTGACTCTAAGTAGAAGGGTTTACTTTTGGACTTGAAGTTAACTCTCATGACCTATAATTTTGTTCTTGATTTTTTTTTTTTGAAAGGTGAAAGCTTTTACATTTTTTTTTTAAAGATTATTCGTACAGAACTGGGGTACAGGTCAGAGATGCAGAGGGTGAGAGGATTCACCAGAGAGAGAGTGGGGAGCAGAATGGGCAGATCGACAAAGTACACTGCGTAGGGGAGCAGCAGGCAGGTCAGGAGAGGTCTGCCTCGCCATGTGGATCACCTCCGGGGCAGGCGGGAATCGAACTGATGTGGAAGTGATTTAAGCTTCTTTGTGCTGTGCTTTAATCTGCTGCGCCACCAGGGAGGGCCTTGTTCTTGATTTTAATCCTCTAATTCCATCATTCTAAATTCTGTCTTGCTTAATAAAATTTTGCACTAAATTTTAAAATCAGAAAATGTGTGACCTCAAGCTTTATTCTTTATGTGTCTTTTGAGTATTTTTTCATACTTTAAGTTAGGGCAATAATCTACCTAAGAGAGATTACTAAAATATAAAATATAATGAATAAAAATTATTAGTTATGCAACTCAGATGGAAATGTCTAGTTTCTAATGTCTTTTTCCAAATGTAATTTTTCTTTACTATTATGCTAATTCCATTCATGTTGTTGCTGTTACTATAAGTATTATAAAGTGCTAACTGTGACTTAATGATTTTCCTGAATTTTCTGGTAGTTAGATTAATTTGTTTTCTGTCTGTTTAGGTAGGTGGAGAGTTTTCAAATGTTGTTATCCCCCAGATGAAAAAATTTGGAAGAATTGCTATATGCGGGGCCATCTCTACATATAACAGTACTCGGCCACTTCCCCCAGGTAATGAACTCATGCAAATGATCACAGATGTAGGAAGGCTGGGCAAGAAGAAGATTAAGAGTTAGGGTATCAGTTGGTGACTATTGAAATGGTTATAGCTTCTTGATAGTCTTTATGAAACAGTGTATCTATTGTATGAAACTGTATAACTTCATATACATGTTCTAAATCAGCTTCTATTTGATTTTGATATCGAGAAACAACACAAGCTGAAAAAACAGAAGGGATGTTTGTAGTTATGATAAGTTTTAGTTTCTTATGTTGTTTCTTTTGCAAAGTTGTAGAAAGACCGCTATGGCTTGGTTTGGAGACAGAACACCTTGGTCGGGCTGGTAAAATGTTAATGATGTTGTTGGAGATGTGGGGGATAGAGGTCGAGGATGAGTTGATGTGGCTAAAGGGGTACCAAAGGTCGTCTTGTCCTTCAGACACTCGTGGGCAGTGTTTCCTCCAACAGCTGGACATCCTGGCCTCCCCAGGATGACAGTGTCTGCTGTGGCCTGTTATGTCCTCCGTCCCCCACTGTAGCACTCTCTCATGCTGAGACAGTCCCCTCTCACCTCCAAACCCAGACAAGCCCAAAAGAACTATTAACTAGAAAACTACATTCATTCAATTCCAATCTTTTTCAGGATATTGTCCCAGCCTCTGATTTTACACATGGTTGAGACAACCAGAGACACAAATCAAAGTCAGGTCTTCTGAATTCATACAGAATTCTCTGCTACAGTGATTCTGTGCTGTTAGTGAGATTATAGATTTACCCTTGGGTCAGAAAAAAAAAAGAGAACAAAAAGGGAATCGTGCAGATGCTCGTCAGGATGTAGACACCATAAATGAATTAATCATGCACGGCTTTTATGGGGGATAACAACACTTGAGGCCAGAGAGGGACTCTTGTTTTGCATCTCCTCTGTGAACATCACAGAAGGAGATGGTTTTATGCCACAGAATGGCTACATTAAGCCATAATGCTGAAAGAACATGTTAAGTACCAGGCGTCTCAGGGCCATTGGTTTGAGTGGTGCAGGAACATTTTCTTATGTTACCCCCAGGACCTTGCTCTGTTCTGTTAAATAGCTTGGGATTGTGAATAGGCCTTGCTTCTGACACAGACATTCCCTGGCTGCCTTGTCTGTGCAACTTTGAGTGTGGGTTAGTGTCTTATCATTACTGTAGCAAATTATCACAAACTTGGTGGCTTAAAACACACAAATACTGTTTTACAGTTGTGTGTGCAGCAGTGTGAAATGGGTGAGCAGGCCTGCCTTCCGTGTCAAGGCTCAAAAGGAGAGTGTTTTCCTTGTTCTTTAGGGGGTGGCTTATCACAGCCCCCTTTCCACCATCTGCAAAGCCAGCAGCATGGAACCTTCAAATCCACCTATCACCTCCCTATGTTCCTCCCTCATCTGCTTTCAGCATCATATATTTTTCCTGACTCCGTTTTTCTCTTACAAGGGCCTTTGTGAGTATTCTGTTGAGCCCACCTATCTAGTACACATTATCTCCCCGTGGCAGGGTTTTTAACTTAATCATATTTGCAGAGGGCCTTTTGCCATCTAAGATAATGTATTCACAGGTTCTGAGAGTTAGGGGGTAGACATTTTGGGGGGCCATTATTGTGCCTACCATGGAGTACATGTTGATGGTGGGCGGGCCTGAGGATCCAGAAAGTGGGGAGGGAGTGGAAGGGGCAGCTCTGGAAGAGTAATGTGGCCACTTCCCTGGACCATGTACCCTCTTCTTCACAGGCCCACCCCCAGAGGTTGTTATCTACCAGGAACTCCGCATGGAAGGGTTTGTCGTCACCCGCTGGCAAGGAGAGGCCCGCCAGAAGGCTCTGAACGACTTGCGGACATGGGTCTGTGAGGTGAGGCACTCCAAACCACTCCCTGCGATTGTGCTTGCCTCTGTAGACTTTGTTTCCACTGCAAATAGAGACCCATCACCCCGCTCTCTATTTCCTAACAAGTTACTAGAAATGTCTGTACTCATAGCCTGCAGGTCTTCTCTTTACATTCTTTCTTAAGCTCACATCAGCTTTTGCACTGTTGTTATTCCATCAAAATTGCTTTTTCAAGGTCCCTGATGCATCTCACAGTGTGAACTCTAGCTGTCAGTTCTGAGCAGCCCTTGGGGCTGTGGCAGAAGTCTCATTCTTTTCTCGGCACACTTTCTTTTCTTGGCTTCCCTCAGCACTTACTTTTCCTCCCTGATGGGTGTTCCTCAGACTCCTCTCTAGCTTCTTTTCTTCTCTCAAGTTACTATAAAGTTTCCCAAGACATGGTAATTGGACTGAAGCATATCTTTTCTTCTCTAGCCACAGACTATCCCTGAATTAGTTCATTCAGGCTCATGGCTTTGAATACATGGGTGTGCTGACAGCTGCTGAGTCTCTCCTCTGAGCTCTAAGCTATTCGTCAGCTGCATCTGGATGTGTGACACACATCATTCAAAAATGAAGTATGCCCTGACCTTCCATGTCAAACCCATTCCATGACGGACCTCACGTTCTCAGCTATAGCAAGTCTATCTTTCTATTTGTTTGATCCAAGAACCTTAAAGTCATCTTTGAATCCTGTCTTTCTCTCAGATCCATGTCTTTCAAATCTGTCAGGAAATTCTAGAAGCTTAACCTTCCTGATACCTACAGAATCTGATCACTTGTCCCACCACCCCTGCTCCCACCCTGGCCACCATCTTGTTTTAGCTGGCATGTTGAGATAACCTGTCTCTGGTCTCCCACCTTTGTGTCCCCACAGACAATTCACAACACAGCAGTCAGGTTATCTTTTAAAGCATAAACCAGACGATGGCATTCTTTCTTTCTTTCTTTCTTTCTTTCTTTCTTTCTTTCTTTATGCATACAGAACTGGGGTACAGGCCAGAAGTGCATGGACAGTGAGAGGATTCACCAGACACAGAGTGGGGAGTAGAGTAGAATAGGCAGATGGATGAAGTACACTGCCGAGGGGAACAGGAGGCGAGACAGGAGACGACTGCTGTGCTGTGTGGGTCACCTCCCTGGTGGGGGAATGAACTTGTGCTGAAACAGCTGCAGCTAACTTCGTAGTGCTGTGTTTGAGTCTGTGTGTCACCAGGGAGAGCCCACATGATGTCATTCTTAAGCTTAAAAAGGTCCCCATTCTTCTAAGAGTAAGCCAAGTAAAGCACTTATAATAACATACAAGTCTGCATATGATAGAGTCTTGTTGACTCCTAATTTCACTTCTTCATAGTCAACCTCTCCACCCATTTTTCCATCTCTCTGTAGTTGCTTGGTTGATTCTTTCATCTCCTTAAGTCTTTGCTAAAAGTGCCTTCTGAATAAGTCAACTTTAAAATGACCCTATTTTAGGGGTCTCCCTGGTGGCACACGAGTTAAAGGCACAGCACTATCAAGCTATTGCCAGCCACTACAACATGAGTTCAATCCCTCGCCAGGGAGCTGACCCACATGGCGCAGCAGACTTCTTCTGTCTTGCCCACTGCTCCCCTCAACAGTATATTTCAGTAGATCTGTCTAATCTTCTCCGCACTCTGTCTCTGGTGAATCCTCTCAGAGGAGGGGTCCACCTCTGACCTCCACCCCAGTTCTTGTATGCATAAATAAATACATCTTTAAAATGACCCTCTTTTAAATTGCAGTCTTCCTTTTCTCTTGATCCTCCCTGTCTTGCTTTTATCCAGAGTAATGGTCACCTTTTCACATAATACATAATTCACTTGCTATGTTGCCCATCTGTCTGCCATGAGAATGTAGCCTCCTTGAAGGTAGCAGTCTTCATGCATTTTGTCTTCTGATGTTATCTCCAGTACCTATAATAGGACCTGGATCCGTGTAGGCATCAGATGAATACTGTTGGGCAAGTGGGCGTTAGTGGGGACAATATTTGTACCTGAGTCTTCTAAGTCCTGGACTGGAAAGAGCCTTCCTCCGTCAGCGCCTGTCCACCTGGAGGAGGCAGGCACCCCCTTTGTCCTGCTCCGTGATCATTTTCCCACCTCACACCATGTGTCGTTTTAGGCCGCGGAAATACGAATAACCAAGATGCGTTGTCTTAGTTTCAGAGAGAAAAAGTAGTGTCACACTTCCTAGTTCCTGGGTTTATGGTCATTTCCCAATTCAAAGAAACTGACCGCTCCTCTGGCAGCTACTGGAACTTGGCATTTTTCCCAGCCTAGCACTTGGAGTGTTCGCTTGGGCTCTTTCCAGGGAGCTGGGGAGAGCTGAATTATATATAAGTTCCCAATGTGCAGTTTCGTTGTCCCAGTTGGTGAAATCAAATCCAGCCTTTCTGTGATCACAGCTGACAAGAAGAAACCGCTGTCCTGGTATCCCCAGGGCTCCCTCCTAACAGTTTTAAGTAACTAGCAAGCTGGCCTAGCTTCTATCTCAACTATTTTTTCTCTGATTCCTCTTCCTTTTTAAAATAATTTTCTATTTTAGAGCAGTTTTAGAATACTGTAGATGCACAGAAAAATTACTGAATAGTACAGAGTTCCCCCTGTATTCTGTGCCATGATCTCCCACATCAATTTCATAGCTAGGGTTCACCCTCTCCTTTTAAACTTTACACTGGATTTATGCATCTGACCCTTTCCAGCATCTTTGCTTTCTAAGAGCAGACGAGCTGGGGCTTTCCAGCCAAAGGTTCAGATCCCAGTTTCCTTACTTCCTACTTCAGTGATCTCCAGCAGATGGTCCCTCCAGAAATCATAAAGGGTAATAAACCATCACTTTAGGAGAAATATATGGTATCAGGTCACTCAGGGCTTCACATAGCTCTTAAAAAAAAAATCAACAACTAGAACATGTGAATTAGTTTCACTTACTAGACTGTGCCTTGTAGAAGGAAAAATGAAAACTCTTCCTCGCTAAATGACTCTTTTCCTCCTACACAACTAATGTCTTTGAAAGGAAGGGGGAGGAGGGAAGAGGGAAGACTCAGCAGTGGTATTTACATTTCCTGAACCTTGTGTGTGTGGTGGTGGTGGGGGGGTCAGATAGAGCTAATGGTGCTACATCATTGGGTCATTGGGCAGCTGTGAAGGCTTTAAGGAGATCATGACCTAGAAGGATCCCTCTCTCCGACTACATCCACCGCTGCAGAAATGATTACCTTATTAAATACTCGCTTCATCTTACTCAAATGAATTGCTGAGCAAATGCATTTGCTTGTCACATTTCTCCTCTTGTTATACCGTCATCTGATGCTATTATTAAATTCTGTTGTTCTCTGCGATCTCTTACATACACCGTATATGTGGATCTTGCTGCAGATGACTACGACTTCTTGGAGGGCACTGTCTTCATCTTAGAAGTCCAAGTTTCCCATAATGTACTTGATATGTTTATTTCCAGGAGAAGAGTGCATCATTTAGCATAGGTAATGAATCTATGACAATTTTTGTTATTTTGATACAGGGTAAAATCCAGTACCATGAATACATCATTGAAGGATTTGAAAACATGCCAGCTGCATTTATGGGAATGCTTAAAGGAGATAATTTAGGGAAAACCATCGTGAAAGCATGAAGAAATATCACATGGAATCTAGAAACAACATTTGGATGATTTATTTCTTTTTAACCATTTATCAAAATGTTTACTGCTCTTACTATCGAAGAAATCATCATTGTAATGAGTTTGAAATATACTTAAGCTAGTGACACTATGAAAATTTCATGATAAATAATTAGTCCCCACATTGCCTACTACAGCTGCTTCTGGATTATGGTGGAGAATGATGGCTTTGGAGTTCAAAAGTTGATCACCTCTGTGACCTTAGACTTTTGACTTTTCACCTGCTAAGTGAGATAAGTAACATCTGCTTCACAGTACATGTTTATTCAAAATATCACACAATAGTTGGCATAGAGTAGGTACTCAGTGAGTGTCAGCAGTGAGTGTCCCTGCAGAAGCCCATGAATTTGGAATCAAAAGGTTACCATCCTTAGTGCTTGTGACCAGAGAAAAATAACCATTCCCAATGCCCAGAATCTCAGGCAGCCCTCGCTGGCCCTCTGCAGATAGAGCTAGTAACATCAGACCCAGCAAGCAATACAGCACTCACAACAGCGACCAAGAAGACAGCTCATGGAATATTTGCAAGTGTATAAAAATGTGCAGGATTTATATGAAGAAACCACTAAAACTTTACTAAGGAAGAGAGAAGAAGGCTTGAACAGTATTTCAGATTACTTTAAATCTGCCATGAAATTAGATTTCCTTGGATGTTGATAGCATCGTCCACAAGTAGACACAACAGCAGACTACGCACTGATCCAAGAATATGGCTTCTGCAGGCATGTGAAATTTTATGATTCAGGCATTCTGGGTTCGTTCTGTAAATGGACATACATCCCAGGCACAGAATCTTGTCTGTGAAATCTCCATAGTAAAGTGACAGTCAACATACACAGACATCCCGGATGAGGAGCAAGGCAGGAGAGCACCACTCAGAGCAAATCATCAGTCCTATAGGAGAAGGTAAACAAGAGGTCTGGAGTCCCTAGTTTTAAGATAGTAAAAAAAACTGCCTTCTTCTCCACTGGGAAATCACCCAAAACAGCACAGAGTATAAGAAATAAAAAATGCAAACTTCATTTTTAAAAAATGTAGAGGAACCTGCAGAATGATTATTTTTTGAATAGACAAGCACTAACAAGTGATGAAAAATTGACTATCAGTTGACTCATCCATAGCTGGTGAAGATGTAGCTGCTTTGAAAAGAGTTTGGCAATACCTCGAAGTATTAAACATAGAATCAGAATTTTACTCAACAGGTATATGTACACCTATACCTAACAGAACAGAAACACTCATATAACAACTTGTACACAGCTTTCACAGCATCATTCACAAGAACCAAAACAAGGAACAGGGCCTCTTTGGTGGCACAAGGGGTTAAGTCTCAGCACTGAAGCTATCAGAAGCCACTGCAGCAGGAGTTTGATCTCCTAGCCAGGGAGGTGACCCACATGGTGCAGCAGACCTCTCCAGCAGGCAACGCTGCTCCCCTCAGCAGTGTATCTCAGTAGATTTGCCTGTTTTGCTCCCCTCTCTGTCTCTGGTGAATTCCTCACCGTTCCCCTCCCGACCTCTGGACTATACCCCAGCTCCTGCATGCATGCATAAATAAGTCTTAAAAAAAAAAAAAAAAACTACCTAAATGCCAGTCACATGGCAAATGGACTAAGTATAGTCTATCCATACAATGGAATATTGTCATAAAAAGGCAAATTAGCAACTCAAAGAGATTCCTTGGAAATATGCACAAGAGCATTCAAGTCCTTCTTAGCTTGCACATACTTGCCAGTCCTCCAGGGCACTTGCTGATACATGCTGCAACATGAACACCTTGAACATATTAGGTAAGAGATACAGAAGATTGCACATTGTATAATTCCATTTATATGAAATGTCAAAAACAGGAAAATTTAGAGACAAAGTCGGTTTAGGACTGGGAACAGGGAAGAATAAATGATGACTGACAGATATGGAATTTGTTGTGGAGTAATAGAAGTGTTGCAATATATAGATAGTGATAGTTGCACAACTTTGAGTATACAACTATGAGTAGAGTGAATTGTATACTTTAAAGAGGAGCAGCATTATTCCCAAGGATCAAGGTATGACAAAAAATCCATGTCCATCAAGAGGTAAGTGGATTAAAAAAATTAGATAGCCAGCTAGATAGCTAGACAGACAGACAGGCTAGAAAGACAGATGATGAAACATCATTCAGCCTTTGAAAAGAATAGTCTATTTCTATCTTTATCCTTTTATCCTTCCAAGTATTGACAAACCTGGAAGGCACTATGCTAAGTAAAATATCTCAAATACTGTAGTATCATTTATTTATATGTGGAATTTTGAAAAGTTAGACTCAGGAACAGAGAAGAAAAGTGATTGAAGATGAAAGAAACTGGGAAGGATACCAACTTTTAGTTAAAAGAATAAGGTGTGAGGCTCTAATGTATAACAGGGTCATTATAATTAATAACTATTGTGTAAAAGTTAAATGCTTTCACAAAGAGTAAATATGTGGGATGGTAGATGTGTTAATTAACTTAATGGGGTTGTGACCCCATGATTTGTATGTTTATTAAATAATCACATGTACTTTAAATAAATGTGTCACTATTTTGTCAGTTGTACCTCAATGAAGCTGAGAAGTGAATTATATCTCAGTAAAGCTGTTATGAAAAATTAAGAGACAGGTAACCCCAAACAATAATCTGTGAAGACACATTGTTCAGAGGAATTTTACTGGCTTAGCACAGGAAAAGCCACGAGGCTCTTCTGAAAGGGTACTGATGAAATCCATACAGGGTTTAGGACAGGGAGGCATCAGGTACTCTGGAAAGAGGGAGAAATTGGGAGCTAAAAAGAGAGCTAGTGCTTGAAAATACATACAAAAAGCAGCTCAAGTCCAAGTTGCCACACCTACCTTGGCAGTGAGGGAATTATCCAGCTCTCTGTAACCCCCATAGAAAACTCTGGGTCTAATCTTTCACAAAATAGAACTTGAAAGGCTTTTTATTTGGGTACCCTGGCCCAATAGGAGGGTGGAAATTAAATGTCAGGCTGAAAACAGACCAAGTGGAAGTCTGTGTAAGGGGGTGAAGTGAACCTTCTGTGATGCCTGTAAATTAACTTCCTGCTCCCAGGTACTCAAGCTTCCAGAGACTTTGGACTTTGAGGTGGAAATACTGATTCAACCAGATTTTGGATCGCTTAGGGTGATAAAATATTTACTGTGTGTTGAAAGAAAGAATGGGTGTAGCGGTCAGAGGGACAAAACAGCCAGCAATCTGTGTACTTTCAGGAGGAGGAAAATGTGCTTGCCAAACTAATGTTGTAGTTGGGTCTGGAGTCACATGGCTGACTTCTAGCCAGTGGGAGGAGGAGTGATTTCTAGGCCAGAGGTTTCCAAACTTTCTTGTTTACCACATCCTTAGTAGTATAATCATCTTTTCTATAGAAAGCTAACCGGTTCATTTGCTACATAGTTAGCTTCAGACAATAATAGCAATAGTTGGTACCATGTTCAATAGTAATAGCTGTTTCTTTAAAATTTAAAATATCCTGGGAAATGCCTGCAAGTTCTCTAAGTGATCTGGGTCACCTTGGTGCCCAGGTGTGACCCATGGTCCCGGGCTATTTCCAAGACTGGGCTTGAAAACATATAATTGCTCCATCCTGGCTCTCCCGGCACCTGGGACCACGGAGACCACGTGTTCTAGGTGACAGTCACAAAATGTTGGAAAGCAACAAAATGTTCGCCAACTGACTGGAAATCAACTTCTGTTTAAACCTCTCTCGTTTGCTGGGGCTTCTGTGGCTGGCTGGCATTGCTTACTCCAACTCTGTACCGACCAACGTGAGTCACTGGAAGGGACTGAAAACTAGAAATATGGGGAGTGCCACATGTCAAGATTTAAAAAAGTGCAGCAGAGTAGCCATTTTTCCTTTAAACACAACTTTATTATCAATTTTTTAGAATGACAATTCACTTTACTGCATCACATAAGATGCTGTTAGAACGTTTGTACAGGAATGTGCATTATTTCTAGTGTAACAGATAAACACTTGGCCAGACTAGTCAATTATCAACCATCTGATTCAGTTCAGGTGGTTATTTTTCTATACACTGAAACAACATCACAATGTGTTTACTTGGATAGTTTTTGTGTGAATAGCACAAGTTAACGTGTTCCTATGCCCACAGCCCAGTGTCATACCTATGAAATCATAACAAGCTGAGATACTATTTTCATATTAAAATTACTTTCTAGATTAAAAAGTACAGAAAAATATTTAAATTTTAAATGAAGGCATATTGTCAAGGCAGAATTCAGTGCAATACAGAAGCTAGTGTTATGACCAGCACGGGAAAGAATAGGAGAAGGAAATCAGTGCATTTTCGATGATGAATAGCAACTGCAATTCGTTACAAGCACAGCCAAATGAAGAAGCTGCTTGCTGCATACAAAAGTGTTAACGTCAATACAGTACACAATACTTAAGACAATTCTTAGTATTTATGTCATTTTTCAACAGTGACCAAGTAAGTTTAATAGTCTTCTAAAAGTCAAAAAATCCATCAGATGAATCACATGAAATGAAATCTAAATTTCCAGCAACAAAAATACATTTCTATCAAAATCTGAGCTTGTTGTAATCATGGTCAGCTAGAACGACACAGTTTGAACTTTTGTACACACACAAACACACACACAAATAATTTTAGATTGAGATATAAGAAATTATTTTAATTCTGCTAACTTAGAAAATTATGTGAAAGACAAAAAGACATTTACAAAAATTGAAATTTTTAATTCTCTAAACAATTCTGATCATTGAAGGAGTTTCTAATAGTATCAAAGATCAGTTGATTAGAAATTTGAAAAATGTCAATTTTTTAGCTTTAGCTTTAGGTGAGTGATATAACTAGATATATTCAGTCTGAAAGGATAGCCAAATTTACAAAGAAATGTTTATTCATTGCCTAAAAGCTCAAATTCATGACAATTTTTTGACAACCTTATATCAAAGAATTTCAGCTCGATATAGAAAAATTAGTTTTTATCATAATGGAACCTAGATGTTAAGTCAAAAGGTCAGATAGCTTGACATAGTGAAACAAATAGTTTTCCTCATTGCTTTGTTCCATCATCTGATAAATACTGAAAATATTTTGGGTTCCATTTTCTGAAGCAGACTTCAAAAAAGTCAAGGATACAGATGTTAAAGTTCTTCATATATATGCAAACACAATAAAATAGTTACTGCCAGATTATGTAACTGTTGGAAGATATTTTTGTTTAACAGCCCTGTTCTTTACCAACATTGCTTGGATGAATTATAAAAGAATTTCACAAAGATTTTCTATATTAGCAATTCCAATTCAAGATTTTCTTGAAACAAAAAGAATACCATCAAATATTCAATAATTGAAGACACAGTGGCAGTGTGATTCGTGTTGTTCCCTAAAATCACAAAGTGAATTCGAAGTGCTCTGGAATGGGGAAAATTTGTAACCTACTTAGACAGTTGAATTAAAGCTGAAACATTTCATAACATAAAAGTGACTACACTTTTTTCTAGCATTAGTCAACACCTAAATTTTAAATGTAAGCAATAGCATTGTGTAAATTGTTGGCAAAAAAAAAAAAAGGCAAATGTGAAGAATGGTTTACTGAAATCAATAAATTTTAGTTTTGTTTCCATTTATGCAATTTATTTAAGCAAATAAAATTTGAAATGGATATGCTTTTACTTTCACACCAATAAATTCTTCCAGTAAAATGATAAAACTTTGTAAATATCAAAGGAAAATAATTTTTTGATACTTGACCTACTTACTTATTGGAAATTTTTAAGTATACATTCAAAGTATGTTTGAACTGTGTGAATCTATTTTTCAATTCTAAGTTTTAGAAATTTGAAATGAAAATTTAGTGTATGCAGTAAAGTGTGTTATAAGTATAAAATACACTGGATTTTGGAGACAGAGCAAAAATATAAAAATATAAATATAAAATGTCTCATCAATGTTTTACATTGATTAGATGTGGAAATAACTATGGATATACTGGGTGAAATAAAGTATACTACTAATCTCATCTGTTTTACTTTGTAAAAGTAGCTCCTAGAAACTGTGAAGTTCTATCCAGTTCATATTCTATTTCACTGAACTGAGACACCTTCCAAACCAAATTGTTCATAAATGTGATTAGTTAAAGTCTGAGGAAAGCCTCAAAATGTGAAAGATTGCAAATGGGTAAAAACAACTCCTGGGAAAGATAATGCAGGGAGTCGAACAGCACCAAAAGACAGTTAAGAATCCTCAGAGAAAGAAAATAGTTGATACACGAAGCAAGAAGCAAAAATAGAATACTATTAAAAAGAAACAAGGGGCCCTCCCTGGTGGCGCAGCGGGTTA